CGATGGGCTGAATTGCACAAAACGCATGATCGCACCGGCTAGTCTGGTACGCGTTGCTATTTATTATTTAAAGTTTTCGGACCAATTTTGGCACTGTCCCTCACTAGCACATGCCGCCCTTGGTGAGGGGTTTCGGCGTGTAAGCAACGCTGCTAATAACGCGAACATTAAGTCCTGTCAAAACAGCTATTCATTACAAATTCCCAAATATCCAAGCCCAATTATTCTAAGCTTTTACAAATTTTCACGATATAAATATGCGTCGTGCTGAATCGCTAAGAGAAGCGAATGGGAAAGAAGTTCCATCCCCCAAAATTAAACCTCCCGGTCGACATGATACTCAGTAGATGTGCTGAAGTGTGAAAATGTTCGGGACGTTCGGAGCATATATACATTAAGATATCCCGAAAAGTTTTACTCAAATTTTAAGTTAAAACGAAAAAGTGGGGAGGGAATGCTGCGCACAAATAGTAGGACTGAGGGGGTTATAATCCCAGAAAGTATGCAAACTGGAAAGGAATGTCTCGGTCCACAAAGTCGTATACACTCCCCGCTAGTGACTGTTAAGCTTTGACAAGTGCTTCAGCTAGCAGCCTTTGAGTTGGGGATCCCTTCAGGAGACGAATTAAACGTTGACATCGCAAACAGTTTGGCGATACAGCAATGCTCAAAGAAAGTAGAAAAGTTACTAGCTTTATAAGCGCATGCTGTGAACTGCAGCTGGTTAAAGCACGCTTAAAACACTGGCGCATCACTGACTTTCCGAAGTGCGGACTGAGCTGTACGCCAAGATCGCCTGTAGGGGTAACTGTGCCCCGCGACATTTATTCATAAATAACAGACCAAACAGTTCGCGCAGCAACAGAAACACCGAAAAATCACCGCGGAACACCGACCAAACCCCTCGCAAAAGTACTATTTAGCATCGGTCGCAACCCGGGCGGAAAACCTCGCGATGTGCTTGGCAACAATCAAGCCGTCTGACGAACTCCGCGAAACATACAGTCTTTCGTCAACACCATCTACGCCGCCTGTTCATTCTACAGAAATTACTAAAACTCGGCTCGGCTGCGCGAAATGCACTCGCTTTTAGGTTTGTTCTCGGCCTGTAGCAGAAGTCGTGGCATTTGTTCTTCATTCGTTTGGAATCCCGCGTATTTGTACCGCCTGTATTAATTTTTGGCTCGCAGTTGTAGTGTTTTGTTTATGCTTCATGCACAATGCACGTGGTCGAAGACTGGCAACGTTTTAACTGAGATGGTGGTATTCAAAAGCACACACAGTAATGACACCTCGAAACGGTTAATGCCTTGCTGGAGATGCTTCTGCCAGGAGAACCACTGAGTTGGTAGTGTTTAGGTCCAGTTATGGCGCTGGTAAGAAATGTATAAGACTTCATGGATCGAAATATTTCTTTCCATTTTTTTATAAAAAATTTTTCTAATTTCTCAATTCTTGAGTCGTCCTCTGCTTATATCAAAACAGTTCCTCTTCGTTCCTTAAAATTTTAGGAAACAAAGCGAAAATGAGGATCACCCGCAGGCTGACCACTAGACGATGCAACATTGGTCAAAGCAACTGAAAAGTTGATAGCAGCGCAGCTAGAGCACGGTGCGATGAATTGCAGCTGACCAAAGTATCGAGGTGTAATGCGAGTAACAAGTACATTTTACAAGTTTCTGTTGTAATGTTTCGTTTTTATGCGTTTTGTGCTGTGTAACAGCAGTTCAAAACGCATATTGTCACGGTGTTGTCTGTGTGTGTTTGTGTGCGTGTGTGTGTGTGTCCATGTCCGCAACTTTCAACTCGAGAACCACAAAAGCTAGGAAGCTGAAAATTTAGGGTAATGTTCCCCACCCACGTGTGACTGTCCGCAACTTTCAACTCGGGAACCACAAAAGCTAGAAAGCTGAAAATTTAGGGTAACGTTCCCCACCCACATGTGACCCCGCAAATTTAAATTCTGCTTCCCTGTACCCGCGGGTAACATGTACGGCCCCGTGAAAGTTTTTTATGGGTAAATTAATATCTCGAGAACCACGCAGTCTAGGAGGATAAAATTTTAGGGTATTGACTCACTGCCCTCAGTCAACCTTGCCCATTCAAATTCAGTGTTCCCGCGCTCTCGGGTATCACCTACGGGCTAGTGAAAGTTTTTACGGGTAGATTATTGTCTCGGGAACCACGGAGTCTAGGAGGCTGAAATTTTAGGATAATGACCCTATGCCCACGCTCAACCTTGCCCATTCAAATTCAGCGTTCCCTCGCTGTTGGGTATCACCTACGGCTTCATGAGAATTTTGGCGGCTAAACTATTATCTAGTGGATCGCGGAAAGATATTCACCCTTCAAGGTTTCGAATTCAGCTTTCATGCGCTGGCGCGTGAAATTTTCAACTATTTTCCAATGTTTGAACTATTTTTGCATAGACCGAAGTACAAAGCAGTGAAAATCATTAATAGGCAATCGTTCGATGGGTTGAATTACACAAAACGCATGATCGCACTGGCTAGTCTGGCGCACCTTGCTATTTATTGTTTCTAGTTGCACATATAATAGTGTCTTTGTCTTATCACGCAAACTGAAAGTGAGTGTGAAATGTCAAATGAATACGGGAAAAAATAGAACGCGACGAGGCTATTCTTTTAGGAAGGATGACTGATACTCAGTATGCACCTCTGACAGCCGCCCTGGTCAGAACACTCACCGACAAATTGTACGAAAAGAGGAAGGCTGCTGCTCTGGACATCGAAAAGTATCTCTTTTCATTGAATTAATAACCAGATCGTTGGTTTTTTTTCTTTTTGACAAAATAATTTGTTTTTTCACCCATGGCTACTGCAGTTTGGTGTATGTCTTGGAAACCGAAACTGAGAGACTTCGTGCAGCACAGCAATTCTTGATTTCACATTGTTTGATATTCCCTTTTCTATTATTTTTTCCCCTCTTATTTTGTGCTATTATTATTAGTATCATTATTATTATCATTATTATTATTGTTGTTATTATCGTTATCATTATTGTTATTATTGTTATTATCATTGTTGTCATTGCTGTTATTGTTGTTATTATTATCACCTTTATTCTTATTATTACTATTATTATTTTTGTCATTATTATTACTGTTCTTTGAATTCAGCTTCATTATTCCCTTTTTAAGTTTATATTTTACTTCTGCATTACAGGATTCATTTTGTTCTATTACCTTTCATTGTGATTTTTTGCAAAAACACTCCTACAAAGCTATTCTTCTTCCCGTAGCTGCATAATTCAGAATAAGCTGGCGGCATTCTTAAAGATCACTGTAAAAAAGCTGCGAAGAGTGGAATGTCTGCTTTGTTTTTCAGACAAGTGCGCGAGTTGCTGCAAGCAAATCACTTGTCTCAGTTGGAGAAATTATTGTTGGTGCTCAGAGACCTCACAACGGCGCAGAATGCACATGCACGCAAAGGTGGCCTCATTGGCCTTGCAGCTGCTGCAATTGCGCTTGGAAAGGTAGTAGTCATTTTAACCGTTTTTTAATTGCCTATATACAGCTGTATTTATGCACGAACCATTTGCGGAGCTACAGTATACCAGTATACTGTGCCAAACCATATACTGTATTGTATCATACCGCATACTGTATTAGGCTGTATTCCTTGTGTAAGAAAAAGTACGCGCAATAAGTTTAATTAAAGCAGCAATTTTAATATTTCTTTGGTTATACTTAACACTGTAATTTTTTGGAATGTGTTTTAAAAAAGTTTTCGCTGTTTAATTTTGGATGGCAAAAATTGCCTCTAGCTTATTCAAGTAGTGTCCTCCACAATTTCGAGGTGAGATGGCGAAGTAAGCACCTCATGAATGGAAGGATTACTGACTTTTTTTTGACAGCACTGAAAGCCCTCACTGAGTGATCTTGGTGATAAGCAGGCAGTTGTGTGGCCTAAAATAGTTATCGTATTTTAGAGTACATCAGCGTACACGTCGCATCTAATCGAGCCTGTTCTAACATGCTTCAATGATCCAGATCCCAGAGTGCGGTATTACGCTTGCGAGGTGGTTTTCTTCTCTTTTTTTTAACCTCGTTCTCATGCATAATGTCGGTCTTATGGACCTTCTCAGATTTATTTTCAGTCACTGTATAATATTGTGAAAATCTGTCGCTCCTCGGCACTCTCTCACTTCAATGAGCTTTTCGACACTCTTTGGAGGGTAAGTTATTTTTTGTTTCTTCCACAATATATATTGAATTTAGCAATTCCTCGCACATTTTTACACTATGTATTTGAATTTAAGCTGTCCGCAGATACAGACTTAAACGTACGCAGTGGAGCCGAACTTCTGGATCGTTTATTGAAGGTTTGAAATTTTTTGATTTCGTCTCGCATTCTTTGCTTTAGAACAGCTTATTTAAAATTTTTGTATCATTTTGCATCTCATAGTTTTCATGACTCAGAAAGCAGGCACATCTTCGAATCTTGCAGGATATTGTTTTGGCGACGAGAACATTCGAATTTTCAGTTTTGATGTCATTAGTGCGAGACCGAATATACGCTCAAAATAGCTCTAATCGGAAATTTGTCGTTTCCTGGGTACTTTTTTATGGATAATTCAAGTTTTGTTCGGTGTTTGGTTGCCTTGTTTTCTCTAGTATGTCTGTTTCTTATCCAGTTTTTGTTCCCACCTTTTTTTCTTTCTTTTACAGCTCTCAGCTCTTTTGACGGCTCCTGAAGTATCCGTTTTAACATATCTGCCGGAAGTGCTGGATGGTCTCTTCCAAATGCTCGACGACGGTCAGCCAGGTGTTCGAGACGCTACCGAAACAGTTCTGGGGCAGTTCCTTGAAAGAATGGGCCAACAAAAAGGAGGCGATGTGGTAAGGAGTGCCAGTGATTCGTAGATTATGATTATTTGAATACTTTAATCATCTGTTATTATGCGTTTTTGCCGTGCAGCGCTAGAGCGCTGCAACAGGCAGCAAAAACGCATATTGCAA